AATTTGCAAAGACCGCACCTGATGTGATCACTTTTTTTTGGCAGCATGCTAGTTCACTCACCTGCATTGCCTAGAAATGAGAGCTCGCGGTTGATCCCTGGCTTCTCCGACATCACTGGCTGGCTGCTCAAAGCACTCTGATGACCCTTTTCAGTATGCAACCATGTGCTGAGCAAACAACTGCATGTGCTCAAACACGCAGCGTATGGTGCTTTGCAGGCGCCTAACTTTAGTGGCAATTTCGACTGGGGCGGTTGAGGCAGTGATGTTGTGTGAAAGCTGCAGCATTGTGCCGAGGCTGAATACTCTGCCGCAGCGGCTGTCAAAATCATGGTGACCAGTCATGTCTGCCATGCTCTGAAATAGGGGAATCAAAAGAACAGTCTGTGTTCTTTTAATTACCCCTACTCTGAATTTTGGAGGCTTACGCAAGTGCATCTCCAGGCTTTCCCACTTGGGGTTTCTCCCGTACTCAAAGTGCGTCATTGTTGCAAGGTTTGTGGCCGCAAGTGCCGTTGCAAATGTACGTTAAGTACAGCAGTGCAGCACAGTCACAGAGGTTCTGCTCTTACAACAAATACTACTGTTATCCCAAGAGGCCAAAAGGCGGGGTCATATTACGGCACAGGCAAGTACGGGCAGCGGGCTCCGAGCTCAAGGTTATGATGGTTTGATCAGATGTCAGGTACATCCCTTAGACCAGCGCCTTGTTTTTAACCTTGTGTGGCAATATCTCTTTACTAGTTTTCAGACTCTAGCAGAGGTCGAGCTTGGTTTCATATTCATGTCCCACTATGTCCTTTAGGTACATGTTGATGTCGCATCATTTTGCAGACATGCTTCAGAGCTCAAAAGCTCTGGTGCTTGCAGACATTTCCTGCGTAAAGACAAGAACGGTGAGCTGCCCGGCTGTGAAAATTAAGCTACTTTCAATGTGTCGGTCCTTAAGCTGCGTTTTCATTTTCAAATGTGCTGTTGTGCATGAGCATGCGGTGATTGCAGAATCCAATAAGTATTTTGCATGCTGGACTTCAAGGATGCCAATGGCTTCGAGCTTTGTGGTGGCAGCTGACCGCATGCCATGCAGCATGCACCTGTGACGAATGCGGAGGACCTCATGTCATGCTCATTATCCGTGGAGAGCAAACTTGCCGCTTGTCAAACTGGTCAGAAACCTGAGTTCACCTCACTTTCAGCCTGCAGCAAGCATGAACATGGCCACGTCCTGGCTTTTTGTGGGCCTATCCATTCTCTCTCTCGGTAAGTCACCGAGATAGGTCCAACTCCTGCTCGACATCCTTCACTCGTGTCGTTTCGATTGGTCTCATCCCCGGAAGTGTAACTGTCTGGAATTACTGGAAATTATTAATGAGCTTGTTGGAACTACATCGTCCTCCTGGTTTTCGCTCGACTCGTGCGGTACACCTCCTGGCAGCTCGTCAAGTTATCAACGTCGTCGGCATCGAACGATTTTTATAAGTTGCAGCAGACGAATATGCAGTCTCAGAAGATATGCACATATGGCTAACGCTCCCCTTCAAATTGCGAGTTCGCTAACACGAAGAGTGAAACGTCCATCATGGCATGCGTGGCATCTGCGTGTTCGCAGTTTCGGGCCGCAGCTTGCAGGATGCAGCAGCACAGGCCCCAGCAGCCGCTGCTGCAGGAGACGCCGTTGTCGGTATCGTTGACCCCACAGGCGCAACAAGCGCAATGTTCCCTGTCGTTGAGGGGTCAGACCTGAAGGTGCCAATACCACCTTCTTCGTTTGTGTACCTGATATTTGGATCCTGTTTTGCAGCAGTCCTTCCGTACGTAAAGTGCTAGTTTTTACAGGTCAGCAGATCATGCGAGGTAGTTAGCAGCAAGATAAATCTTTAAAGGCTTCCTACCAGGCTGCTGACTGGTGCTTGCAGAATGCGCCCACGGCCAATTTTTGCCAGGAAAGCGTCCTGCTCTCTTGCCATGAGCAAGTATGTGATAAAGTATCCTGACCTTACATCCACTTACAAATTGCATATCTCATCCTTGGCATTCTGTTGTGCAGGTGTCTCCGACTGGGCTGACTGTGCTGAAACCGAATGGGCAGACACAGGCGGTTCTGAGCTTGGTAGAGGGCAACAGCACCGTTCGGGACCAACCGATCGCCAGTTCCAAGGGCTTCATCACCATCTCGCAGCCCAATGGTGCCAGCATCCAGGTGATCCCTCATTTCTTGCCAGTTCAAAATCAGCAGCTCAAAAATGTAAGGATCTCTGAGAGTGAGCTGCCTAGGAGAGGCAGAAAGCATCAACAGCGGCAAGTGTGGTCCTCCAAAAAATTTGGCGGTGCTTAAACAGAATTTGTGCCTGGGCATGGGCTATGATCATGCACAGAAGGGCCTATCTGACATGAAAGCACAACAGACCTATCTGATACTTTGAAAGCTTAAGGCAATCATGCTGCACCTGATCAAGCATAGTGAACGCAATCCTATAGACGGGAGGATGATATGCACGTTCACTTGCATGGCGTTGTTAGAACTGCTCATCAGTCCAGCAAGCCATGCATTGCTTGTACTGCTATCTTGTGTGAATTTCGTGCAACACTGGCGCTTGTTATGCGCAATGATGACGATGAGTCCATGCCCTTGCAGGTGTCCCTTGTACCTAGCCCCTCTGCACTCGCTCCTGGAGTTCCTGCTGAACTCCAGGCCGATCTGAGCTCCATGCCTCGCTTCTGGAGCTGGGGTGGCGACTGGGGTGGCAGCGTGAGTGTGGATGTCAGTGTGATGAAGGGAGGCGGCAGCTCCTCTGGCAGTGTTTCTGTCTCCGTGCGCACATAGTCCCTCCCATCCCTGTGTCTGATCAGTCCCTTTACCAGTGCTGCTTACCAAATCTGGCACATCTACCGCTCCTTAGAGAGCCGACCTGTGCCATCGTGTCCGCTAATGTACCGGAGGGTTTGTGTACCTATTATAATATATTGTGTGCCTATTACTTGATAATGTCCGGCTCATGAGGTTCCATGCCACAGGCGAGGTGATGTTTGCAATGCTTAGTCTTAGGAGATCTTGTCATTGCACCTGTGATTTCCTCCACAGAGTTTGTGCATGGTGTTGTGCAGGCGCCTTACTACTCTGGCACGGTCACATGGGGCAAGAAGTAAAATGGAATTTGCAGACGCCAAAATCTGGGCCACCTGTACCAGTCCTTCCCTGAAGTCACCTGCTCAGCATCTAAATCTCCATGACAAAATGTGTTTTACTGTAGCACAACGTTGCTGCAAGTTTCCCAGTCACAAACGCTCATGACGAAGTACATCGATTAGAGAACTGCCGTGCTGTGGACCTCAGTTCCGTCCAGAATGCTGGGAGGCCTCAAAGGTCTTTGAAAGAATTAGTTACTAATCAGGTACTAATTTTTAGTACAAATTGTAGCATTGTGTTTCCAATGGGTCTCATTCCTGCACGCGGGCTGGTCTGCCGACAAGCTGTGCGCCTAAAAGGCACTCAAATTTTAGGGCAGTCATGGTGTTTTCTGCAAAGGTAGTATTACAGATTTGCCAAACTTGTTCTCTTCTGATTGAAATTACAGGCATGCATGCAACTGGCAGTGGTTCTCAACAGGCTTCTGAGATGTGCTTGTAAGAAGTTGTCCGATTTGAGTACTGCCTCCGTTACGGCATGAAATAAGCACAATCACTCAGAATAGCCATGCAAATGCTGCGGAGCTCCAACGGCTCCAAAATGACACGGTTGAGCCTCTATTGTAAGGCGAACTATCATTCAAAGCAGCATCCATTGTCTCTCTTAGAGACAAAAAGGACTGCCCAATCGAGCACAGATGCTGATGACCCCGGGGAAGAGGGAAACACATTTTGGCATTGAACATAAGAGACCTGCCATTCAGACAGAATTCTTCGGTCTTAAAGACTGAGAAGAGAGTATAATACTTGGTCACTGTACAGCATGCCATTGCCGCCACGCTCAAGATCTTTGCTTCAAGTAATCAATGAACAGGGTTGCTCGCTTCAAAATCACTTGACTGGCTCACATCACAGTCACGTTTCTCGCATTTCAGAGTGCCATCCAAGTGTGGGTCATTCATCAATGGAATAAAATGGGGACTACAAATTTGATTGAACAAAATGCGCCGCAAGTACCTCACCCATTCAAGGTTCCAAAATTAAGCGTGTGCTGCTTCCACTCTTGTTTCTGTACAAGAATTAGTAGCATTCCCTCCCAGCATACATGCCAGCAGCCGGCAACCCAGACAAGCCAGCTTGATGCAGAGTTATCTGACTACCCTTCAGTACTGCTCTTCCTGCTGAGCCAAAGACTTCCAGGTCCACGCAGCTTCTCAGCTGCTCGGGTAGCTGCTGTGATTTTCCAGCATTTGTGCTGACCAGTCAACATTCACCCCTGTCACCGCCTGAGGCTATGCCCATGCTTGGTGCCACCACGGTGCTGGCTCATTGTTCCAGCAGTCGTTGTCCCCCACATTGCAAACCTCACTTGCACTTTGCGTCGCTGAGCACCAAAGCGGTTAGGTGCTGGGTCACAAGCCTTGTACCAGCTCATAAACTGCTACGTCCACCGACTGTGGCAGCACCTTGTTCAAGCGCCTTTTGGCTCGGGGCCGGCGTAGCTGCTGGGCAGCTGCGGGGCGCCGTTGCCGGCCTCCATGGCCTTAATGTCCGCGGCGGCCGGCTCCACAAAGCGCGACCAGAACCAGTGCTTGCGCCACACGACGACCATCTCCTCAATGGGGATGTTCTTGGTCTCCGGCAGCAGGAACGCCACGAACAGCGTCATCACCAGCACCCACCCCGCGAAGAACAGAAAGATGCCATACTGCGCAACACCCAGAATGTGTCAGAGGAAACTAAGCAAGACCATGATTTGGCTGTGACCTTCGGTAACCTTTACGGGGTTTCTGATAAACCGAAGCACTCTTCCTGCATGCATCTGTGACATAGAGGCAGATCTGATCTTTGTCATGAAGCGTTCCCCGGAAACAGCCCGGGTAGCTCAATCGGTAGAGCGCATGGCTCTTAACCTTGTGGTCGAGGGTTCAAATTTCCCTCGGGTGCTTCATTTTTTAAAAGGCTGAGGCACAGAGGCCGAGTACTCAGCACTCCCGTGGTCCCACCAACAAGCGACTGCTTTTCCTCCCGAGGCTCCATGCACATGTAAAGACCGGCACGTCTGAAGACCGGCAAATGGCAGGCTTCATTGATGAGGCGGTGCGGCGCGCACCTGGAAGGCGCACAGCATGGAGAGGAAGCACTGGCCGATGACAAAGGTGAAGAGGAAGTTGACGGCCACAGTGAGGCCCTGGCCAGCAGAGCGCGTCTCCAGCGGCTGTATCTCGCTCGGCACCAGCCACCCGAGGGGACCCCAGCTCCAGCCTGCAAGCCGCATCAAACCTGATTGATCGTGACCATAACCAGGATCGCAGGGCGGTGCAGCTGCTGCATTACCTGGATGCTATCGTTGGGAGAAATGGCACTTTGTTCCTCTGCTCGTGTCAGGTGGCTTAGTCAGCAAAACAAGTTGGAATCACTGCATTGCAACTGTTATGGCATTAGATTAACCTTTGAAAAAAGATGAGCCGGACACAATATGGATAGCCGCACGGAGCGACACATATATCTCAGAGGTGCTTTGGGAGGATGCATCCAAGCGCACCAAAGCCGGCGACAAAGAGACAGATGAAGAAGATGACGGCGACGCCGATGGACTTGTTGATGGCCTCGCCGTTGTGCGCGTTGAATTGCACCGCCAGCAGGATGGCGACGACCACCTCTGAAATTATCATCTGCACTCCGCCCTGCAGAAACAGCACCTGGCCCCCGCATATGCAGGCCACTGTCACTGCCTGTCACACAATTTGATGACGCACAACCGCAGGAACGATGCCAGATGCCAGCAAAAATGTTGAAAAATGATGATAGAGGGCAGGGTCAAATCAACACAAGTTGTAAGATAGAGCATAGACCCTAATCTCTTAACCCTTAAAAACCCCTAAACCCTAAAATAATATATATAGAGCACAGAGCAGAAGTGTGCTGTGTGCCATGGGTTATCTCGTCTCCACCTTGCGTCCATACTTGTCGACGGTGAGGACAGCGACCACGGTGGTGGCCACAAAGACGACGCCAATGATGACCGAGGACAGCAGAGAGGAGTCCTGTCCCATGCCCAGGCTGCTGAAGATTACCGGGGCATAGAAAACTACGGAATTGATGCCTGGGGACAGAGACAAAAGTCACTTTACCTGCAGTATTTTTAGAAAGCAGCGCCCATTTCTGCCTGACTGTATGACAGAGTCTCCCTTCTATCATGCTGAAATCAGAGAAACACTACTCTCAAAACATTTGGAAGTAATAATGTGAAGAGGGCTGAGGACAGAGGGCCAAAGTTGCCACTTTGCAAGAAAACTTTAACAGGAATGCTGTGTTGGAGGCATTGGGCCATTGACAGATACCAGGAACTGTGAGGTTCATGTGTGAGCACAAGACACAGACCTGTAAACTGCTGGAAGAAAGGAATGAAGGTGGCCATCACCAGCTCCGGCCGGTACTTCCTTGACAAGATATTCCTCCATGGATTCTTGACCTGCACAGAATAATACTCAGAATTATACAGAATACTTCTTTTATATAGAAATATATAGAATACTCAGAATTATAAAAGAATAACACTCAGGAGCAAGGTACCCGACAGCTTCAGCACGCAGAGCAGTCTGCAAAAAGGTTTGCATGGGCTCTCTCTTTGACCACGCTCCATCAAGAGTAACGAATATGCATGAGTTTATCATGCATCTTGCCTGTGCAGAGATTGCGCTGGCTGTGCAGATGTCGTCAAACTCCACACCGATGTCATCTGTCCCGCGCACCTTCCTCAGCACCTTCTTTGCCTACACAAGGCACGCAGCATGTCTTCAGCACAAGGACCACAAGGTAACATGGGGGCTCATGACAAAGAATGGATGCCCTGGTCTTAGTTGCTCCTAGGTGAGGACAGCTGGAGCCACAAAGCAGCTCATTTCAGTTTCAAAGATTGAACGAGCACGGGACGCCATAAAAGAAGGGCGTGGAGAACCTCGTGCTTAAGAAGCAGGACATTTGTTGTGCGAGGCAGCCCTTCCTCTTTCTGGCGCTCGCACGCCCTTGATTGTCCCATATTTTTAAATCTTAAGCAGGGGTGTGAGGAGCCTACCTCCTCATGGTGGCCCCTCTCAATCAAGCTGTTGGGCGTTTCTGGCAGCACAAGGCCACCAATGAACAATATGATTGCTGGGACAGCCGCAAGGCCAACAGACAGCCGCCAACCCCAGTCATGAATGTTCTGTGTGCCTGTACAGGCAGCTTATATACCTCAGTTTGCTGGAATGCATGCAGAGGTATAGATGCTGGTGCAGCTCATCTGCTGTGTCCACCTGCAAAGTGCCAGCAAGTAAGCTGTCATGCTCACCATAGTTGACAAGCTGCGCCACCAGGATGCCTGTAGTGGTAGCCAACTGCGCACACAACAGTCCACCTCTCAGCTTGAACTCTTAGGACACTTGCATGCAAACTTTTCTGCTTCTGTGGATGTCTAGAAAAGGTCTTCCCCGCATGCGATAGGGTGCTCGAAAGAGATGAAGCAGAGACTGCACACCTGGAAAAGATTGTTGAGGCCGCCACGCATCTTGGGTGGGGCAATCTCAGACAGGTACAGTGGCACCGACTGATTTGCAAGGCCCACGCCAAAGCCTGTTTGGGAAGGGACGCAATCCTTAAAACAGGCAGTATAGGAATGACATGCAGCTGAAGACCCCGAGCATTGGCAGGCAAAAGCATTCAATCACAAACAGGGTCCACTGAGATTCATCCCAGGCAAGTGCATGCTGCAATATGCCATGTGAAGTCCCTGCATGCTCCCAAGAGAGTGACATAAGGGCAAGCAAGACTCACCTAGCATGATGCGGCCCGCGATCAGCATGCCAAGATGCACAGCGCCTGCCTGCAGGCCGGCCCCAATCATGAACAGCACACTGCCAATGGTCATGGTCCGCCGCCGCCCCAGCGCCCTGCACAGGTGCCCCGTCAAGTAACTCCATACATGCATGTGTCCTGCATTGCAGACTCCATGCATGTACCCTTGGATACAAATGGACAGCATGTGAAGATGAGCATCTGTCAGACAACCTGTGAAACTGAGGAGGCTCACCTAGTTGTGTAGCCGCCGATGAGACCCCCCATCATGCCGGCAATGAACAGGCAGGAGGTGAACAGCTGCAGGCCCTGGTTGTTGTACTTGCAGTATGCGTTGCTGCCGTCATCAGGGCTCTGCACATGGGCATACACGTCCGGGAAGAACTTGGCGAGGAATGGCCCCATGGATGTCACTCCTCCGGTGATACCATTATCAAACCTGCGAGGCCACGCACCACATGATGAGCGTAGCCGCGCTATGCATGCTGGCAGCGTCCCTGTTCTGTGCTTCACAGAGCAAAGTGAGTCAAGAGGGCACTTACCCAAACAGGAGACCGCCAGTCGATGCCACAATGCATGTGAACAGCACCACCCTGCACAGCAAGAAACTGCGTTTGCAATGTCCCGGGTACAGCAAACTAACAGCAAAACATGATCGCCCTCTTCTTTGCAACATCGATTGTGAGGAAGGAGCAGAGCAAGGGAAAATTTTTCTAAGGGCGCAGAGTCCCACCATGTGAGGTGCCCATTATAGCTCTTGATGTTGTTGTCTGGCGCGAGCATTGCTCCACCTGCCATTTTGAAGGGCAGAAGCTATGAAGCTCTGATGTGCCCTCTAGTCAGTTGTACTATGTACGTGCCTGTGTAACATCACAACGCCTGCTAAAGGGGATAGCTTATGCCATGAAGATGATGTTGTACATGTGATATGCCTGCCATTCATATGCGAAAGAAGCACGAAACATGAGCTGGATATGTGCGCATCGCACACGGATGTACAATAGTACAAGTGGACCATCTAGCGTGACTTATCTTGCAATTTGATTTTCTTCATGTTTTCCAAGACAACTTGATAGTATGAATACACAGAACTTCGAAGAGCAAGATATGACTCGGACATTGCACACAACCTCCAACGATCAAATAGCGAACGGCTCACCACGGCGGGACGCGACACCCCTCAGGTGCAGGTCCCCTTTTATATGTATTTTCAGCCGCCTTCACTGATCATCAGACTGCCCTAACTTTCGCAATACGCAAAATCTGCTAGTCCGATGCCCATATCTAAAAAATCCAGCTGTCATCGAGGTGGGACCGAGATGCTGATGTGGACAATCCTGTTCTGGCTTGCTGTTAAGCATTGCATGCAAAGCTATTCTGGGCAGCATGTCACAGTGGATCTGTTCCATTATAATACGCGGGGTGGGTCACAGCGCCTTGTAACAGTGACAGCACTTCACTATTCTAGTCTGGCAGCCGTGTGCAGCGGTCCGTTGGCGTGATGCCTTTGTGTTTTGCACGGCACTATTGACGACGACAACGTTCGACTTGTTCAGGTTCAGCATTATTCCTCCAGTCGGCTGAGTCTCCCAGCACGTCGATCAACCTTTCTATGAGAATCAAAACGAGGTTTACAATGCAGGTTTCCTACGGCTGAGTAGCAGGTGACAAGTGAAGTGCGCTCTGCTCTGCAGATTCACAGGTTTGCGAGATCTTCACGGGGGACATGGGGGATGACAAGCCACCGCCTTCCGAAGGACCCACCTCGACTGCTCCGCCATCGACACATCGTGAGCCAGCCCGTACAGCACCCCTAAATGTCCAGCTCAAAAGGTCCTGCAGTGCACACACTTGCAGCCATTTTTTAATTGGATGAGGCTGTCGACCTTACTTCGGTGTTAATGCGCAATGCAGGTGTAGATGCTGATGAAGGACGCCCTTCAGGCAGTCAAGAGGAGACTGCTGGCGGGGCAGGCCCAAGCCAGCCACACCAGGAGCCGTCAGAAGGAGACAAGAGAAAGGAGGCACCCGTCTTCAGATTTCCTCAGGGCAACTGGTCGACTCAGGAGCAGTACTACGCGAAGGTACCCTTTCAGGGCAGTCCATATGC